TAAATAAATTTTAATAGTTATATATGAAAGCAATCTTTTTGCTAACATTGACATATAATTAAAAATATGGATACATAATCTTTTGATATATATATATATATATATATTTGTGAGTAAAAAATTATGTATCTATATTTTTAATTATTTGTCAATTTTTACAAAAAAGATTTATCATATATAACTATTAAAATTTATTTAAATATATAACAAAGTTTATAATAAAAAAAAATGATCAAATAATTTAAGCTTAAGTGCTAAATAAAATGTGAACAAACTATAATAAAATATTACTTGAACATCACAATTTTCACAATTTTAACTACGAATTTGTTAATCAAACTTGTATAATCCAACTTATCCACTAAATCATTTTGAATGGAAAAAATTGTTAATTTATTCAATTTTTCTTGTGACATAGTTGACCGAAAGTAATATTTAATCAATTTAAAAAAAATTCTTTTTCCATAAATAACTATAACTGGTATAATTAATTGTATACCTCTTGAAGTTTGTTTAAAATATGGATTGCTATCTGTGGTTTGAAAAATTATAAATATCCTCTTATTAGAATTTTTTATTTAATAGAATTAATTGAAAAAAATAAAATCTCTAATTGCTCTCCTATACAATAATAAAATTACCTGAATTATAAATTAAAATAAATTTCTAATATCATTAAAAATTATTCATTGACATAATGATTTATTAATAAAATGGGCAATTTATTCTGAAATTAAAAATTTCGAAGGCGAGATGTAATTTCTAAAACCACATTAGGCAAATCGTAATTTAAGCAAATCTCAAGGGCTGTATTTGTAATATATGCTTAATTGTATTATATACATAACATATACATTTGATAAATAATCCTCCATTAATTTGAAATAACTCACAATTTCAATTGGCTATTTGATTTTTTGCAGTAAAAATAATTATTCATTAGTTTTAAATAATTTACCACATCAGCCATCTATTAGTTTTGAATTTTCACCATATTTAATCAGGACCTTTCAAATTTAGATTTTTTTTTCTTTGTTTTTGGATTAGTATAATCACTGCAACAAATTCTAGGGACTTTTTTTTTTTATTTTAAAAACTCATTTTTCAGAGGTCCGAATTGGCAGCTTTGCTCGCTTTAGGCCAAAGCCAGCACTGGTGGGACTTATCTGCCTTACTACATCATTGTGAATGAATGTAAAAGTCTAAATTGTGATCTCTAATACTTTTCTTTTCCTTTTTGTCTTTTAGAGTAATATTCGATCTTCTCCTTAGCTGTGATATTTTATTGTTCTTAGGAAAATATTATCCTCTTTTTTCCTTGACTAAAAAAATTTAATATCTTGTCAATAGTCTTGATTTTTCAAATTTCGCAATGAGTATTTTGTAATGATTTTTTTATGATAATTTAACAGTTTTTCTTTAAAATTGAAAAACTGTTAAATTATATATTTATTTAAAAGATTTAAAACATATAGCAAAATAATTACAAAAATCTAGCCAATAGTGGATCACGACATGTGTTATAGTAGTATGTTTTTTTTATTATGATTTTGTTTTTAAACAAATGTCAGATTATTAAATATATTATTTGGAAATGTTAGGTATTTTTTTTAAAATATTTGAATTTATAAAAATTACCAAAAGATTTTCATTTATCTTACTCATTGAAACTTCACTTACTAATCAATCAGATTTGACTTACTACTCAATTAAATCTCGCTTACTAGTCAATATGACTCCACAAACTAGGATGAATCTGTCCAGTTTTAAGCCCAGAGGAAGCATTCTTGGGTGTGGTTGAATCTGTTGGATGCTAACAAAAACAAACTGTCATGTATGCAGCTGTCTGGGTCTGCAGCTCTCTAGAATGCTGTCTTTGGTGGTGGATGTCTCTATGGTGAAGTAGTTCTTAGGCTGCTGAAGGCTTCCAAACCTGAAGCTTTGGTGCTTAGGCTGGTCTGCTGTGTTGAAGTAGTCATGGTGCTCTGTCAAAGCCAAAGGTTATTGAAGTAGTCATGGTGTTCTGTCTTATGCTCCAGCAGAGGTGTTTTGTTGCTTTATTGTTTTTGTTTTGTTTTTGTTCTGCTCTGCATGTTGGTTTCTCACCAACTTGGAGCTTCGAGTGTTTGCTAGCAGATGATTTGGTGTGCATCTAGGTGCCAACCTAGTTGGGATCTAAATGTTTCACTGTAATGCTTTTTGCACCATCTTCTTTATTGATGTAAGTTATCATACTCGTTATGTTTTTTCATCAATAAAGCTTCCTTTTTGCCGATAAAAAAAAAGAGAAAAGATAGTCTGGTTCGGATGTGAAAAAGCAATAAATTCAGTGTAATGGTGCCAATCACTTGTGCCGACTTTAATTCTTTGTGTAAAGAAACTGATGTATTATTGATTGATGTATGTTTTGATGTATTGTATGTACATTATATAGGAGATGGAGATGTGAAGTGGAGGTGGAGTGGTGGAGTAGGTGAAGTGGAGTGTGTAGTGGAGTAGGTGAAGTGGAGGTGGAGTGGTGTAGTTGCCCGCCTAAACTTTCAATAGTTATACTATTACCCATATATATGTGAATCAGAAAAGGGTTTTGGTGGAGAGAATGGATTGGATAGAGAGATTGAGATTCCAACATTGCTGTTGTTGCTGGTGTTGTTTCAGATTCAAGCAAAGGGGGTAGAGAATCAGGGGTGGCAGATGAAGAATAAGCCTCGAATAAGTAGCTTTGGCCACCAAACATTGCATTTCTCGTCTCTCCTGTTCTGTGTATTATTCTGCAAAGCACCCATTCCTCTTTGAAGGAGTGACGGTAGGAGAAGTCACCGTGGAGACGGTACTCATGCATGACCCACTTGGCCACCAAACTAGGGTTTGGACCGTTGTAGAAGCTGACCGGAATCAATGTCGGGACAGTTTATGGGGTCATGTCGGACCGTAGTAGAAGCTGACCGGAATCAATGTCGGGACAGTTTATGGGGTCATGTCGGACCGTTGTAGCAGAGGTTGTGGTGGTGCACCAAGGGGGCGACTTAGGGAGTGCGCCATGAGCGACTTATACATGATACTGTGTATAACCCCCCCTCAAACTCAAATAGGTGTGAAGATAGAAACCTATTTGAGGTTGAAACAAAGGGATTGATAAAGCTGACCGGTGTAGAAGACACTGTATGAGTGTGTATATAGGCTGCCCAAAAGATATACATGGATATAGATATCGAGCCCTCAAAAGGTGTGCCCAATCTTTCAAAAGGCGTGCCATCAAAAGGCGTGCCCAATCCATAAAAAGGTGTGCCATCAAAAGGCGTGCCCAGTTTGTCGTCGAGCGCCGAGCGGTGCATGATGCACGTGTCTGCCTTGGCTATAAGACGAAGGCTGAGGCTGAGGCGAAGACAAACAACTTGCGAAGAAAAACTTCTGAAAAACAAAGTCTGCGTTTGCGGAGAGAGAAAACACTCTGTAACACATTCTGTAACCAACCCTTCTCTGAAACACTCAGCAACCCATAACATGGCCTCCTCTTCTTCCCGTCCAGCTACCCAGAACATGGCCTCCTCTTCCCGGGGTCTGCTCACGCTCTTTCCAGAACTGAACGAGTCCACAAGAGAAATAACTGGTGCGGTGGCCAGTGAACCTCAACCAAACACCTCAGGTTTTGCTCCGTTGAACTTTCCGATGCGGTCGGTGGAGCAAAAAATGGCGGTGCAAACGGATATTGAGGCCAATCAGTATACATTGAAGTCATGCGTGGAGACCATGACTGCGGTCACAAATTTGTCGAACCGGCTGCAGAGTAGGACAAATGAGGTGCAGCAGTTAAGCGCCCAACTGGCTCTGCACCAACGCATGTATAAGGATGCGCGAGCAGAGATGAGTGTGCTAAAGGCAAAAAACAAGGAGCTGAAGCGGAAGGCCACCGTGATGTTCCGATTTGGAGGGCCGCCATATGCTGCAGTGGAGGAGCAGGGAGGAGGCAACTTGCTTGGTGGTCTAGGAAGCACGGAGGCAACACCGTCAAGGGCCGCCCAGGACGGAGGCAAGAAGAAAAGACCGGCGGCAGAGTAGAGAAGAAAAAGTAACTAGGTTACCGCCAACAAATGTGCAATACCCTGAAGTTGATCTCCTATCAGTTACTGACCCAGCCCAGTCAGCATCTGTATAGGCCTCTACACGAAGATGATCATTTTTTTTTTTTTTTTTTTTTTTTTTTTTTTTTTTTTTTTTTTTTTTTTTTGGTGTAAAATGGTGATCGGGGTTGATCCTTGAGATGAATAAAATAAGTGTGTTTTGCAAACTCGAATGGGAGGTGTGGTAAGGCAGAAAAATCAACTGGAATGAATGTATTTTTTTTTTGTTTTAAATAAAAAGGTAATGGAAAATTATTTAAAAAGGGCTTGCGCACTATCCGAGGAAAAGGGCTTAAAATAAATAAATAAAAGAGAGAAGTGAGTGCTGGTGTGGGGTGGTGAGAAATTATTTGAGTTTTTTTTTTTTTAAATACAATATATCTCCCTCATTGGGTGGCCAATTCGGTGGAGAATTATTATGTTAGAGGGAGAGTGAGTTGGTGGACTAAGATGGAGAATTATTATGTTAGAACAACGCTGAAAAGATGGAGCAAAAGAAATATATATATATATATATATAAAGTAAAAGAAAGTTGAGTGGGAGTGGTGGGTGGTGAAAACAATTATGGTGGGGGACAAAAGCGGCTAAGTTGGTGGGTTGGATGAAGAGAGAGAGATTAAGAAAATATGAGAGAGAAAGAGATTGAGTGAGTGCCCCCATGTGCTGGTTGTTTGGTGTGTGCCGTGTGTGTGCTGTTGTTGAGCTGTGCTGTGTGTGTGGTGTAGCAGTGGTGTTAGAGTTTGTTATGCAAGGTGTCTGGGTGTGTGGGTATCCTTCTCCCTCACCCAAACTGTGTGTGTTTCTGATCTGAGTGAGAGAGAGGTGTTGAGAGAAAAGAGAGAGAGTCAGTGATAAAATATGAGGGAGAGAGAGATTGAGTGGGTGTCCCCATGTGCTGGTTGTTTGGTGTGTGCCGTGTGTGTGCTGGTGCGTCCATGGTGTGTGTATCAGTGTGAGCAGCTTCCCCCTCCTCATGCACACAGGTTGCTTTAGCTGAAGGAAAAGCTCTCCTCCCTCTCCCCCGTTGGCCCCTAGAGAGAGAGAGAGATGCTTGGTGTGTGTTGTCGACGTGGGAGACTTCGTCAAGGTCGTCGGCATTGATGAGGATCTCGATTATGGTACGGGAGTGGAGGATGCATAAGAAGTGAAACTGTGTCCGAGAGTGAACCTGCTGCCTCGGGTACCAGCACTTTTCTCTTTATTTTGGATGTATCTACCCAAGTAACTAAATCTTCCATATTTCTTGTCACAAGGAAAGCTGGGTCAGTGACTGTCTCTGGACCTACTCGGATATGCCCTTGCTGTATATATGTGACCGCTTCCTTGAAGTGTTCAGCAAATTTCAGCTTCAACAACACAGTTGCAAGCCTACGTCGGCAGAAGGCCAACACTGATAAGCGCTGACACAAAGCCAAGCTTTTTTTTCTAGATGGTACGACTCCCATGTTATACAGCTTTTCAAGAAGAGAGTCGGTCATCTTGATCCGATAAGGGTCTCTTGAATCCATTTGCTTCAATATATTCACTAGCTTCTGCACATTCCGACACAAAGTCGAATACTTCTTGTAATCGTCTCGATCGGTGACATGATAACGCTGCATAACATGAGGTTCTCTGTGGCCACCTTCTCTCTTCCATTCTATGAAATTATCCTTCTTCAACAGCTTTTTCTCGTGATACTTTAGTTTTCTCATGCTTCCTTGCTTGCTTGTTTTAGAGAGAGAGATAGTGCAGTGGTGTTGCTGAGGGAGCTTCGGCCGAGAGGGAGAGCTGGGTATATTGTTGAGACTGTGTTTGATGGAAGTAAGCTTGGGATTGAGCCATACTCTGTGGAGGTGTTGAAAAACTCCAGCGGGCAGCGAAGGCATGGTTGCCGGCCAGCTGCCCGCCGGAAAGAAAGGAATATAGGCCTAAATCTTATAGCTCTGATACCATGTAAGATTTGATGTATTGAGAAATAGAGAGTATGAATTATGTATTGATATATTTTGTACAATGGTTCAGGAGCTCCTTATAAAGGAGAAGTTTACAAACAATGCACTCAAAAGCAACCGAAAGCAAAGACATCATGATTAGCTAGGACACACTTTACAGCTAATAACAACATAGAATACACTAACAATATAATGCACTAACAGCCCCCCTCAAACTCAAGGAGGATAGACACAAACCAACTTGAGTTTGAAAAGAGTAACAAAACAAGAAAATAAAATAGGATAGGAGACACTGTATGGTCGTGTCAGACCGTTGTAGAAGACACGGTATGGTCGTGTCGGACCGTTGTAGCAGACAGTTTACGTGGTCATGTCGGACCGTTGTAGCAGACACTGTGACAACCAAGAGTTTGATTTGGAGACATTTACCATATGTCCGTGGCATTCCAGAAGCTGATGAGGATATGATGATGTTAAGCTATTGGAAATTTGAAAATCAGTTGGAAGGTGGTGATGAACTGAATATTTCAGTGGTTGAAAATGGGTATTTTCATGTAAAGGAGGTCGGAATCCATCTTGTGTACAAGGAGCAAGAAGAGAAGAGTAACCAATCAACTAGTGAAGAAGCATCCCAACAATTCTCTCTCTATGGAAATGTAGTTCCCGGAAATGCATCTGCAGTACGTCCCACGAGTAAAAAAGTCTACGATCTAGGCGATCATTTGCCGAATTGTAGAATTTGTGACGATCTATAATCTCAGCCTTCGTGCACTACTACCTTGGGAATTGGTTGTTTTGGAGCTGTGAGATTGGGTAGGCAACGATGTTAAGGATTTTGATTAAGTGATATGAATCAGTTGTATGTTGCTAGTGGCTCTGCTTTGTGATTTTCTGTTATGAAGGAAGAAGTTATTTCAGTGAGAGAGAATATGTTGCTACTTTGCTTTGATTTTGATGATGCTGTGTACTACTGTTTAGGTGAAGCTGCTGCTACTGGGATTATAGTTTAATTTGGAATTGCTCAGAGTTATATTTTACTTTGGAATTACTCATATGTTTTGCTAACGTAACTCTTACCTAGTGCTGACAAAATCAAATTCAAATAGTCTATTTTAAAGTAGGAGCACTGTTTGGATTCATGTGCTCGTATGGATCCTATTTTAATAATTCGAACCATTTATTCTACCAGGCATTCATTTCGTCTATTTCTTTCACATAAAAAAATTGGGTCGATCTAATAATTATAATATATTTAATTTATCGAATTTCTCACCAAACAAATAAATAATTTATTTTTCAAAACACAATTCAGTGTGTTTGGTTTGAGTTTTTTGGATTAAGTTTTTTGAAAACTGAGTTTTTTTTATTTTCGTATTCTTTTGGTTTTAGTGAATATTTTTTAAATTTTAAACATTTTTTTTTTTACTTTTTTAGATGCACCTTAGTTAGATGTATCTAAAAATGATTTTCGTATTCTTTTGTTTTTAGTGAAATTTTTTTAAATTTTAAACATTTTTTTTACTTTTTTAGATGCACCTTAGTTAGATGTATCTAAAAAGTAAAAAATTTGTGAAAAAATATTTTAAAAAATTAATAAATACATAGAAATACAAAAAATGTACTGAATTCTTGTATTTTTTTTGTATTTTTGGTATTTAGTGAATTTTTAAAAGATTTTTTTTACATTTTTTTCTTTTTAGGTGTATTTATGTTAGGTGTGTCTGAAAAGTAAAAAAATTGCTTAAAATATTAAAAAAATTCAGTAAAAACAAAAAAACACGAAAAATAAGAAAGTAGAATTTTTTGAAAAGTATTTTCTGAAAAGAGAAACCAAGCAAGCTGATTGTTGTCCAAATTTTTGGTGTCAAACCTAATAAATTAAATATATTACAATTATCGGATTGACTTAATTTTTTGTATGGATTAAATACATGAAATATTCAACAAAATAAATAATTTGAATTATCAAAATAAAACTCATGGTAAGTCCACAAGTCTAAACAATGCCCTCCAATCCAAATTATAGATTGGAAAGAATCCTCCTCCAACATAATTGGAGTGGGTGAATAATAAATGAATACTAATCACCTTTACCATTATGATATCACCCCAATCAATACTCCAATATCAATCAAAAAGACTCTAAGTACAATAATAAGAGAGTGAAGAGAAATCCCACTAATCCAAGGAATACGAAATGTTACATTTTCACTCTTTTTATTTTTTATTATTTTTTTAAATGAAAAACACTCCCTCTTTTTATGAATTCCTTTGTCATATCATGTATTGTATATGTCCTTTTGGTTTAATCCTTTTTGGTTTAGTCCCCAATTTTATTATTTGAGATTGGGACGTGTATATATGTTTATTTTCTTTTTACATTTTTATCTTCTTTTTTTAAAAAAAAAATTATTTTGCTAAAGATTTTGATCAATTGATGGGTTTGGGTTTGTTTTTAGAAACATGATAGTCAGGGCCCACCTTAACTTTTTGGGGGCTTTAAGGCGAATTCAGAAGATAACCAGACTCTCATATGGACTTTTCTTAAGTGTGCCTTGCATATAGTATGCAAGGCCCTTACACCCTTCTATTTTGCATTTACACATTTGTATGTATTGGGTTATATCAAAATATTTGAAAACTTACACATTGGTGACCTGCTAAGCAGGTCACTTTCCAGGTAAATTAATAAAATAATATATTATATGACTAAAGGTGTAAATGGTCACAAAAAAAGTATAAGTTTTCAAGAAAGGCGTAAGGAATTTCAGAAAAAGGCGTAACTAATTTCTGAAAAGTTACACCTTTTTCTGAAAACTTACGCCTTTTGTGAAATCATTTACACCTTTTATGAACACTTACTCCTTTTGTGTAAGAATTTTTGGCATAAGATTTATACCTTTTGCTTTGAACATACACCTTTTGTGGAAGCCCAACTTAAAGCTTTTCGGAAGTCACTTATACCTTTTGTGAAAAAATAAATTCATCAAATTTACACCTTTTGCTTTAGCTTATACCTTTTCGTGGAACTGCTTATATTTTTTTTGAAAAGTTACTCCTTTTGTGAAATAATTTTTCTCATAAGATTTATACTTTCTTTTTCTTCAAACTTACCCATTTTGTTAAAGAGTATATAAGCACAAAAGTATAAATGTTATGCCAAAAATTCTTACACAAAAGGAGTAACTTTTAAAAATTGGTGTAAGTCTTTTCAGGAAAAGGTGTAAGCTTAAGCAAAAGGTGCAAATTTCATGAATTTTTTTTTCCACAAAAGGTATAAGTGACATCCGAAATAGGTTTAAATTGGCCTTTCACAAAAGGTGTAAGTTCGAAGAAAAAGTATATATCTTATGCCAACAATTCTTACACAAAAGTAGTAACTTTTCAAAAATGGTGTAAATATTTTCACGAAAAGTATGACGGAGTAACATTTCAAAGCGTTGATAACCAGAAAAGGAGTAACAAAGGGTTCATTTCAAAATGTTCGTAAACACAGAAGGAGTAACATATGTTCATCTCAGAGTAGTAAACACAGAAGGAGTAACATTTCGAAGTGTTCATAAACCCAATTGAGACAACCACTGAACAAATCAAAGGGTCGTGACCCCCGCTGACCACCCAAGCGTCGGTGGGCTCCGGTGCTCACAGCCTTCTGAGATCGGCACCTCCACTGGCACCGCCGCCGCAAATCAAAGGTTTTTTGAAAGATTGGCTATCGATCTTGGTCTCTCTGTGTCGATGTCGATCTCTCTCTGTCGATCCCTGTTTATCTCGGTCTGTCTCCAGCGATCTTGGTGTTTCGGTGTCCATGTGGGTCTCTTCTCTGTCGATCTCTGTCGATTTCTCGATCAGTGGCCATCTAGGTCTCTATGTCTGTCGATCTCAGTCTATCTCTCTCTCTCTCTCTCTCTCTCTGTCCGTTGCTCTATATTAAAAACGGTTCTCTTTTACATTGACATACTTGGTTGGATTTGGGGTCGGAGTCGCTATTCCAAGCCCTCACAGACTCGTCTTCTCTGAAACGGAGTTCTACTGGGACAAAGGCCAAGCCCTCCGAAACGCCCTTCTCTCTCACATTGCCATTATCTGAACAAGACAAATACAGTGTGATTGGATTTTAGAAACTTACAAAAAAAAACGGAACTTAGACGTTTTGCGAAGTTACTTACATCTCTTTGTGGCATAGATCTATACGTTTTCTCCGAACTTACACCTTTTGTGAAAGTCCAAATTAAAGATTTTTTGGAAGTCACTTATACCATTTGTGAAAAAATAAATTCATCAAATTTACACCTTTTTCTTAAGCTTATACCTTTCCGTGGAAGTGCTTATATTTTTTTTGAAAAGTTACTCCTTTTGTGTAAGATTTTTTGGCATAACATTTATACCTTTTCTTGGAACTTACACCTTTTGTGAAAGCCCAACTTAAAGGTTTTTCGGAAGTCAGTTATACCTTTTGTGAAAAATAAATTCATCAAATTTACACCGTTTCGTGGAACTGGTTATATTTTTTTTCAGAAGTTACTCCTTTTGTGTAAGATTTTTTGGTATAACATTTACACATTTTCTTCGAACTTACACCTTTTGTGAAAGCCCAACTTAAAGGTTTTTCGGAAGTCAGTTATACCTTTTGTGGAAAAATAAATTCATCAAATTTACACCTTTCGCCTAAGCTTATACCTTTTCGTGGAAGTGCTTATATTTTTTTTGAAAAGTTACTCCTTTTGTGTAAGAATTTTTTGCATAAGATTTATACCTTTTCTTCGAACTTACATCGTTTGTGGAAGGCCAACTTGAAGCTTTTTCGAAAGTCAGTTATACCTTTTGTGAAAAAAAAAATTCATCAAATTTACACCTTTTGCTTAAGCTTATACCTTTTCGTGGAGGTGGTTATATTTTTTTTGAAAAGTTACTCCTTTTGTGTAAGAATTTTTGGCATAACATTTATACATTTTCTTCGAACTTACACCGTTTGTGGAAGGCCAACTTAAAGCTTTTTCGGAAGTCACTTATACCTTTTGTGAAAAGATAAATTCATCAAATTTACACCTTCTGCTTAAGGTTATACCTTCTCGTGGAAGTACTTATATTTTTTTTCAAAAGTTACTCCTTTTGTGAAATAATTTTTGTCATATGATTTATACTTTTTCTTCAAACTTACACCTTTTTTGAAA